CGGAAACCATGCAACCCCCAGGGCTCGTGCCGCCCACCTGCCCTCCGTGACCCCCACCTGCCCTCCACGTCCTCCACCTGCCCTCCATGGCCCCCACCTGCCTTCCACGTCCTCCACCTGTCCTCCGTGCCCCCGACCTGCCCTCCGCGGCTCCCCCTGCTCTCCACGCTCCCCCACCTGCCCTCCACGGCCCCCACCTGCCCTCCGCCCTCCCGGTGGCACTTCTCATCACTTGTCCCATCTCTCCTGTGTTTCTTACATAGATGTGTATGTGCATTCTTTTTTGTTCCTTCTTTACACAAAATGTAGCTTATCATGTACAGATTTTGTATGTTTTTCTCTTCACTGAACAGTTACTTAGCGACCTAGCCACGGTGGTGCCTGGAAAGCTTCCTCATAAACCCTCGGAGGCTTATTTATGACCATTTGACAGACACGTAGGTCACGTCCGGTGTTTTTGTCGTAAGGGCTGCTGCAGCAAGGGGCCCAATGGTAGTGCTGCGCAATTAGCTTCTAGAACGATCCAGAACATGCTTGCAGGGGGCAGGCGAGTGCACCTGGGGGGAGCTGCTCTGTACTCCCATCATGCCACAGTGATGGCCTGCTCCTCCTGCCAGTGCAAGTAGCCCCCGCCTGCTGGCTCAGCCCCTGGGCCTTACTGTCCCTGCTGCTCACACTTCAGCCCTCCTGATCTGCTGCCAGCTCCCCAGACTGCTCCCTCAGTGGCCAGCTGTCCTCCTGGTCCCCTCCTGGCCCCCACTCTGTGCCAGGCAAGTGCCTGTTGTAAACCATGTCCTGTCCTCCAGGGCAGGGGCCCAGCCACCTCCGGGCCTGGCGCTGCCCCTGTCACATTTGAGGGCTCCTTCCCCGACTGGACAAGGTTAACAGCGCGGGCCCAGGGCACCTCAGGCCTGAGCTCGTCCACTCGGCCGCATTGACTGACCTAGGGCCCTCCTCCAGATTCTGGCCCATGGCTGAGAGACATGCAGGAATGTGTCCTCAGTGAGCTTGTCCTTTGGTGGGAGAGGCCAGCTGGGCAGATAGTGCTCTCAACATCCAGCCCCCATCTGCTGGGGGGGCTGCTGTGGGGCCCTGGTGCCTGGGGTCGGGGCCGGACAGGTGGCGGGACCAGGAGTCTCCCCAGGTGAGCCAGGTGGGCTGGTGCTGGGCTTGGCCCTTGGATGAGGCCAGGCATGTCCCTGGAGGCCTGGCCACAGGTGCTGTCCCCGGGGATCTGTGATGCTCCTGGGACCCAGGCAGGGACAGCTTTGGGTCGTGGCTTTGGCCAGCGTGTCTCAGGCCATGGCCTGTGACATCTGGACGAGCTCGCTGCTGACGGGCACCATGTGTGGGTCTGTTACAACACACTTTCCCCAGAGTCACCAGCAGTGGTGATTTGGCTATTCCCGTGATGCCACAGATGGAACCAGTTCTTTTGATTGAAAGTTACAGGAACCCACTCTGACAAGCCTTGAGCAAAACAGGGATGTGAAGTCCCCAAACCTGACAGGCGGTGGGCACGGGGCTGGGCGTTCTCTAACACATCCGCCTCGCCTCTCCTGTCCTCTCTGCACAAGGCACAGCCTCCTTGTCTCTGGGTGAGCAAGGCGACAGGCTCTGGGCTCCTGCTACAATGTCTCTGGTTCTTACACAGATGTCGTGAAGAGGGCATGAGGCTGTATGGTGGAGTTGTTAACAGGGGACCCTGGGTTTAGTCGTGGCCTCGGTCTCCCTGTGTTGAAAATGGGGATCGTGACTGGGACCTGTGGAGGAGGGGCTGCCGAGATACCCTGGCCAGTCCGGGTCTGTCCACCTAGGGGTCCCATCAGCCAGGTGTCGGGTGGTATTCCCAGCACAGTCTTTGGGGCTGGCTTGGTGGTGTGGGCTGAGAGGATGTGGGGTGGTGGCCGCGGTTCCTCCAGAAGCCTCCTCCCACCTCAGGCTTGCACTACCACGTGGAGTGGAGCTGAGAACTGGAAAAATCGCCCGGATTATCTCAGTCTGACATTCCAGGGAGGCTTGGGGCAGCCCCTGCAGACGGAGGCAGCAGCCGCTTGGCTCAGCCCCCTGGGCCTGGGGGTGATGCGGTGGTCATTTGCTGGGACTCCGCTGAGCTGCCCTGGCCTTTGTGTCTCAGCTGAGGGGTGAGTTGCCCAGCTCTGGGGGCCATTGCCTGACCGCATGGTTGGGAGGAAGCGGCTGAGTGGGGCTCGGGGAGGGGCAGCGGGCAGAGTCTGGGGGTCTGGGGCTTGAGAGCTGATGGCTTGGCCTGGGGGGTGCCAGGTGCCACTTGTGGAGACTGTCCTGGGATGGGATGCCCACTGAGTGGGGTCCTGGGACTCCCTGGGGTCATGTGTCTCTCAGAGGAGGCAGTCCAGTGGCCCAAGGACCTGCCCAAGGTCACACAGAGACCGCCCTCAGGCAACTTCCAGCAAGGAATGCCGCTGAGGGGGCCCAGAGAGAACCCAGGGCTTCAGGAAGGTGGAACCCAGGGTAGGGTGCTGAGGCCCCGTCTGAGTTGCTGTAGCCCAGCAGGGTCTGTGTCTGTGCTGCCAGGGCGTTGGGGGCCGCAGGGAGCAGCTCTGTAGCTGGAGCCTGTGCCCGTGGACTCGGGCCGGCACGGGGTGGATTGAGGCTGTCCAGAGGGTGCCCCAGGGTGACTTTTCATGAATATTCTTCAAAATGAGAAAACCACAACACAACATCTATTCAATTTGAAAAGCTGGTTATTCTAGGTTGTTTTCTATAGGACTTGGGCGTCAGGATCTCTTTTCTTCCATAAAATGTTGAGAGGGAGGATGTTTCCTAAAGCTTCTTAAACACAACAAAATCAGACTGGCTCTGATGTTGGTGTCTGTCTTGGAGAAGTAAAACTGGTCCCTGAGACCCTGTGAGCCCACTCTGCTTGGCAGCCTTAGCCTGGCAGCGGGGGGCTTCCTCCCTCTTGGACAGGGTAGGAGGGTGTTCTCTCTGGGTCCCCTTCCCCTCCCATGGCTGGAGACAGGGAGGGGTGTCGCTGAGCAGAATGCAGTGTGCCTTGCTCCTTCCTTGTGGTCTTTTGGGGTGGACCATTCAGGTAGCTCCAGAGCCTTACTCCAGAGAGATGAAGACCCCCGCGTGCAGGCTGGAGGGGATGCCAGCTCCCTCAGGGGGAATGCGAGGGAGCCGTGAGTGGCCAGCAGGGAAGAGCGTGCAGGCTCTGTGTGCCCTGGGTGTGGTCTGGGACCTACCCCCATCCTCATAGATGGGGAGCTGGCAGGGTGCCTGCACCGGCCTCCTGCCTGTCTCAGTGGGGAAGTTGTGTCTCCGAGGCAAGGGCAGGACTTGGGGAATCCGGGCTGGAGGTCTGGACAGCTCATGACTGCTCTGGCCCCAGCAATCTGCACAGGTGGCCAGCTGGGGGCAGGCTGCCCAGAGCAGAATGCTGCCTGGAAAGCTCTTTCCTGGGCTTTGCTGGTCCTCTGTCCTGTCCCCAGGGAGCCTCTGAGGTCAGGCTCCCAGAGGGGATAGCTGGAGCACAGGCAAAGTCCAGGGCAGGTCGGACCTGTAAAGCAAGTCCCCAGGTACACTAGGGTCTTGGAGCAGCACGGACCTGACCTGATTTGATCTGGCCCAGGACAGTCCCCTTCCAGAGATCACTGAGATCCTTGAGTACAAGTCTGGCCAGAGGAAGGCTGCATCAGTATCTAGATGCAGGGTCATGCAGGGTCTGGCCGCATTAGAGTGTGGACTCCTGGTGGGCAAGCTGAGCTGTGGGTGGGTTCTTTCTAGGTGGAGAAGGGCCGTGATCTCCTGAGGAGTGTCCCACAACCATGCCGAGTGACCACACCAGGGATGCTGGGCAGGCTGGGCCATGCCAGCCCCTCTGCCTGCTTGTTCGAGAGATTCCAAGTCAGGCAGCCCCTTTATGCCTGTGTTCAAAGGACCAGGGCTTTTATTGCAGCCCAGGATGGCTGAGGCATTGTCTGGCCTGAGCTGGAAAGCCTGGCAAGGACTTCCTTCTGGACTCTGGGTGGCGAGGAGCTGGGGTGCTGGTTGGGACTGGCTGTGCCCTGCACCCTCAGCTGCCGAGAAGCAAGGAGGCCTGAGGCCCAAGAGGCCGGGGAGGAAGGGCAGTTATGGGAGAGCCCAAGGAGAAGGTGACTGGCCATCCCAGCCCAGCCTGGGGACAAGGAAGGGAAGTCCTTCCTGCTCCCTTTCAGCTGCACAGCCAGCAGATCCCTTTCTGGAACCGCTGAGTGTGTGAGCCAGAACAGGGGCAGGGCAAGCCCCTCCCCTCTGCCGGAGACTGTGGTCCAGCAGTGCTGGCTGCCGGCGGGGTGCCTCACACAGGGCAGGGCCTGCTGGGACCCTCGCCTGACCACCCTGGGAGCCAGCCTTGATGTGCTGCCTTGTTTCCCCTCAGGGCCGTGGGAGCCCCTGCTGTCAGCAGCTTGGTCGCCTGGCTTCTCCGAAGGGGAGGCCCTCCTGGAGACACAGTTGCCAGGCCCTCCATACCGGCAGTGCCCTGGCCGCTTAGGGAAGCCTCACCCTGGGCACTGGGGACCGGGACCCCAGGACTCTGGACACACCCGGCCCAGGCCTCTCCGGCTGCTGAGCCTGCCCTCCTGCCACACCTCCTCGTTAGCCCTGACCCCCAGCAGATGGGGAGGAGGTGCCAGCCATGGCTGCTCCCAGGCCCCACCCAGCCTCCTAAGGCCTGGAAGGTGAGGGGCTCTTAGGACTCCCAGGGGCCTCTGCCTATTGCCCTGCCCT